GCCTCGCCAGGTCACACGGTGCTACGGGTCACCTGGAGGAAAGAGGAACACACAATTCTTACTTCCCTAGCAATTTCCTGGAATCCTCTCAGGAGCTCCATCTCAGGTATGATAATGGGGGAAATGGGGTATGATCAAGGGTTTGCAAAAGATTTTTGAGAGATAGTAGAGGGGATTAGGGCCCAGAGAGGGGGCAGAGTCCAATCTCACATTGCTGAATATCAACTCCCTACACCTCCCCAGGCTGGGCACAGATGCTAGCAAGTGTTGACACTCAGGAAACCTGCACTGACTGACTGAATAGATGCATGGACATGTTTCTCCACAGCTGCCCCTTTCCATATGCTGTTGTAACTTCAGGCTCTGCTACTTCCTTTCTTGCTGAAGAGCTCAGCCTGGGAGAAGGAGCAATGGAGATCTGGGGACCTTCACATGCTTCTACTTGCCAGCCACCTGAGCTCCACACTCCTTTCCTCTCAACAGAGCCTCCAGGAAAGGGTCTCAGGACAGGACCTACAGCAGCTAACAGGAGACCCTACATTGGAGAACAAGGGGTCTTGAATCTCATTCTTAAGTCTAAGTTCTCATGAGCTCTACACATCTCCCTCTCAGCCTATACTCTAGCATCAGCTTAGGTCTGTTTTTTGAATGTGTATAATAAAGACATTTTATAGTATCCTACATTTTTCCCAATTCTGTTTTTAAAGTATAAATTCTCTAGCATGCTGAATTAGTTTTCTATTGCTACATCAAAAAATTACCCCACAACTTAGTGGCTTAAAACAACAAATATTTTTTTCACAAAATATCTAGGTAAGGAATATGAGTGTGGTTTAACTGGGTCCTCTGGCTCAAGGTGTCAGCCACGGGCATCATCATGATGCTCAAGGCTTGACTTAGGTTAGGGATCTGCTTCCAAGCTCACTTCAAAGTATGTTGACAGGACTCAGATCCTTGCTGGCTGGCCATTGACCGAAGACACCAGTTCCCTGCCTCATAGGTCTCTCAAAGGGCAGCTCACATAATGGCAGCTGATCTTCCTCAGAAGAAGTGAGAGAGTGAGAGAGAATGAGCAAGACGAGAGTTACAGACCTTTTGAGGCCTAATTTTGAAAGCAACATCCCATGACTTTTGCTGTATTCTAATCATTTAGAACTGAGTCACTAGGCAGTAGACTGTAGAGCTAACCCACACATAGGGAGAGAGATTGCACAAGGACTGGAACTCCAGGAGGCTGGGTCATTGAGAGCCATCTTGAAGACTGTCTGATACATATGCCAAAAATATCGATATGATCGTTGATTCTCTCTTTCCTCATACTCCACATCCAAGTCATATCTTATCATCTCTGTGTTCAAAACAGACCCAGAATCTGATCACTTCTCATCACCTTCAAGGTTGTGACCTTGGTCTAAGTCATTGCTATCACTCACCTGGATTATTGCAACTCTGGTATTTTTGTTTCTGCCCTTTCATACCACAAGCAATTCTTCTTAGCATCAGGAGGGATCTCATCACTGTTCAAACCCACCAGTGCCTTCCTATCTCCAAGTAAAGCCAAGGGGAGTCTGTGATGACCTAGGAGCCCCTACCCAAGTTGCTCTCACCTCTCTAACTTCATCTCCTGCTACTTTCCCATTTACACATTGGGTTCTGGCTACAATAGGCCCTTGACCTTCAAAGTCCTCCCTGAGGAACTTTGCTGTTCTTTTTACCTAGAACCCTCTCCTCCAGATGTATAGATAGCTCACTTTTTCCCTTTAAGTCTCTACCCAAACATCATGTTATTTTTAAAAGACTCTCAGTAGTCATATAAAACAGTACCCCCCAAGCCTAGGATTCCCATTCTCTTTATTACGTGACACCACTCACATGTATGTTAGCTCCTTAAGAACAAGGATGTTGCCTTTTTTTCACTATTATATCCCCAGTGTTTGGAACAGCTGCTGTAACTAACCATATACTTAATAAAAACTTGCTGAGTGAATGATTGAATGTTTCACTCAGGACTTCACTTACTATTTTCAACATAAAACAGTTGGAATTCAAAAAATTTTCCTCAAGTCACCTAGTTCTGGCATTCGAAGCCTTAGCTCTACAGTCTACTGCCTTGTCTTTGACCTTAAAAGATCCACTCAGAAACAACCATCTCTGTGTCTCAGCTGTGTCTACTGCATCCTTAGTAACACTGCCTGAGTCTCAAGATCTAATTCTAATGGGAATTGCAGGAGAGGGAATGGTTTGTATATATATTACATGAAAATGTTTGGTGGGGATCTTCTGTGTTAATATTTCCAAACCTAATATTTCCAAACTATAATCCACCCCAGAGGCATGAGGCTTCCTCCCTTTTTTTTCTGTGAGACCTGCCAAAACTTATGTAAGAGCTAGGCACCAACGATAGAGACACCAAGAAGTCTGCCTCTTTGTCCCTCAGTAACACACCCAGGGGAGCTTTCAGTATTAAAACAGAGCCCAGCCCCAAAAAGTAAGGTCAAGGATGAGGTGGCTGTGAGACCACCACTGTGGTTTAGTTAATGAGTATCAGGCTCTCGAGGTGTCAAGGAATGGAAGAACCCCAAGAATGAAGAAGGGAGGAGAGGACAGGTGTAAGATCCAAAAAAGATAATACTAATACTTACTTCTTGGGAGATCACAAAGAGGATGACACCCGGAGTCACTGCACACACACCATGAATCCACTAGACATTCCTTCCTAGTTCAAAAATACCTGTTGGACATTCTCAATGGGAAACAAAGCAGACCCAACCTCTGTTCCCATTGAGGCTCTTGCTCTAGTGGGCAAAGCAAACATTGAACATAAATACATGATTTTAAATTCTGATGAGGTAATTAAGGTGCTCTAGGTTTACCTGTAACAAGGAGAAGGGGCGGATATGCTCAGTACAAGGAAGAAAGGGAGGAGTATGGGCAGTCTGAGTCACTGCAGAAAGGCCAGTGAAGCTGAGGTCAAACATGAGGCTGGCAAAGCATTTGGAGCAGATCAGTGGGCGCAAGAGAGGAAACTTATTTGGAAACTTATTTTACCCTAGAGCAGAAGGAAGCCATTTAAAGAGAGTGACACCATCCGATTTCTCTTTTGAAAGTACCACTCTGGCTGCAGTGTGAAGAAAAGACTAAACTAGGGAGAGAAGGAGTGGTGAAAATTGACAGGATATCCAAGCCAGAGATATGGAGACAGAGACACAGGAGGGCTTAAGATGTGTTTAGATGCAAATATGTGGAGGGATGAGAGGAGTTACTGAAAACGACACCAAAGTTTTCTGGCTTGACTAATTGAGTGAATGGGAGTGTCAGACACTGAGATGAAGATATAATCAAAGAGCCACAACCATCAGGGGGAGGTGAAGGGGAGGTGAATGAAGAGAACAGATTGTAGATATTAAGTAGAAAGTAGGATTAAGCATGTAGGTGACTTGCTCACAGTCATTCACATACCAGGTGGGTCCAGGATTCCAACAAATGTCTTTCTAGCCCCACATCCTGTCTCCTAATGTCATGTTCAATGGTCTCTGCCGGCAAGGAGCACCAAGCCCACTGAAGGAGGTAAACTCTAGTAAGGGGGGATAGGGGAAAAGGTTGCCAAGGGTGGTATCGTAGTTACTATTGCTGCATAACAAAACACCCCAAAACTTATGGGCAATGAAAAACCATTTCGTTATGTTCACTGATACTGTGGGTCAAGAATTCAAACAGGACACAAGAATGGCTTGTCTTTGCCTTGTGTTGTCTGGGTCCTCAGCTGGGAAGACTCAACTAAAGGTGACAATTTCTAGGAGATGCAATCACCTGGAAGCTTCTTCAATTGTACGTGTAATGACTGATGGTATCACTGGCACCTTAGCTGGGCTTTCAGCTACAAGCCTCACATGTGTCCTTGCCACATGGTCTCTGTGTATGTGTTAGTTTGGGCTTCCTCACAGCATGGCAGCAAGATTCCAGAAACAGCATCCCAGAAATAGTACAGGGAAGTTTTATGGTCCAACCTCCAAAGTCATATCACATCACCTATGTTGTCACCACAAGCCTGCCCCGATTTGGGAGATAGAGGGGAAGATTTACCCATTTCTCCATGGGAGGTAGGTCAGAGAGCATTAGGGAAGGGGTATACTGCTACACTCGGCTCTCGAAAATGGAACCTGTCACCATTGAAAAGGCATGTTTTGAAATGATGGATGCTAAAAGGAATACTCTGGCCAGTTCCTTCAGTTATTTGTCAAGGGCCTCACTTGAAATTTCTCTCAGGGAGTGTGGAGACTAGAAAAATAAAGTCTTAAGGGAAGTGGGAATTTATCATATGACAGAATAATCTAGCCCTGTCTCTGACTTCCTCTTTCATTCTACCCCATCTCATCACCAACGTACAGTCAACCATTGGGTCAGGAACAGCAGGGAAGCTGAGTCACAGAAGGCAATGTCTGGCATGGGGCCCATATAAGAGAAGAGCCCACAGCTGAGAGACTCTGGACACAATCTTGAGTGCTCACTATGTCTGCTCAGAGGAGGTCCTGATGTGGGAGTTTGTTCTGCTCGTCTGCTCCCTTCTGCCCAGAGCTGGCCCTGGACCTGTGCAGACAGAAGAGGCATCCCTGATTCTCCAGGCTGAGTTTCTGGGTACATTGCTCTCCCTGCAAGATGAATACGCTAAGGCTCCTCCCCCTCCACAGGCCTCCATCATCCTCTAAAACAGAAGCCATCCCCCCTTCCAAAGACGTAACTCCTCACTCACTCAAAGCCACTTCCCCCCCGCCAAAAAAATGCACTCTCAAAACCAGAGGTGCCTATCAGACATGGCTCATTCTTACCACTGATACCTCTTGAGTGGGGAGCACAGAACCCCATTCCCTTGAGGCCCCATTCCCAGGAGGCTTTCTTCTGAAGAGTTGCACAGCTCATCTGAGCCCAGTTGTTGGATTACTACAAAAGACTGAACACCTCCCACTATGGCAAAGTATGTCCCTGGGGCTCATGGATGAGGAATGGCCACCAAGACCTCTAAGGTAGAGTGGGGTAGGCAGGGGACAGAACCTAGATACTGAGGAGTCTGCCAGATCTCTCCAAGCATCTTGGGACCCTTGCATCAGTAATGTCATAGCTTGTGTTTGATTCCTATTTCATGATCTAAAAGCAGGAACTGTCCTTTTTTCCCATTATAATCATTTCCCTTTATATCAGGGAGATAAGGCTCCCCCTCTCACCGCAGAGCAAAGATTCCAGGCTTCTCCAGGACAACATTCTGGCAGAGCAGGCTCCAGAGGCCACCACGATGCCAGTCCCTGCTTTCCTGACTCAACTACCTCTGCCATCCCTGCTACTGCCCCTGCTGCTGGGATTCACAGGTGAGCACCACACCCTGGGGTACCCCTGTGCAGAGATGCTCACTTGAATTTGACAGTGGTACCATTTATTTATTGCCAGTGGAATGAACAACTCTCTGTTACAGGGCTTCTTTTTTCTGCCTCTTCCTCTTTAAATATTTTATTTTAAAGCAATATCTTTTAAACAAGTTCCCCTAGAATTCTTACATGGAAAGGGGTCCTTTCTTCTCTCACCCAGGTCATGACAGGATTTACCACACCCATTTCTCAGTGACAGAAGTTTTGAGTCCCTCCTCATCTCCTATATCCCTAACACCTTATAAAGGCTCCATGACCCCTGGGAATGACCTGCAGGACCTGGACCTGTTGCCATTCTGAAGGAGGAGGTAAAGGTACAGCATCTGACTCCTCTGTACTCCTGAAGACCACAGAACCTAGGAGTCAGGACTGCCTTAATTAACATTGAGAGAGAGAGAGAGAGAGAGAGAGAGATCAAATACTACACATACAATATGGAACTATGAGAAAAAAAATTGGTAAGTGGTGCTTCTTAGACTATTAAGTCTCCCAGACGTCAGCACTCTTATGATTATATTCTTGATATGGGAATTAATCCTACCTGTCCATTCCTTTCTTCCCAGAGCTGACACCAGATAGGGCAGACAGGCAAGTCACTCTCATCTTCCTAGTGGTGTCAACATCCCAGTTGAGAGGCCATCTAGTAAAGTGGTTAAAATCACAGCTCTTTTTTGAAACCACCTGCCAGGGTTCAAATCCAAGTTTTGTCACGAATTGCCTATTTGACTTTGGACAAGTTCCTAAACTTCTCTTGCCTCTGTTTTCTGTCTGTAAAACAGGGATAATAGGGTTATGGTGAACATTAAATAACTTAGTTGATGTATTAAAGTGTTTAGAGTGATGTGTGGCACACAGAATTTCCAATGGAAGCTCTATCATAGCCTTCGAGGGTTTAGTAACTGCAAATATGAAAACATAAAAATGGTCTCACTAATCTGGCTATTTGGCACTCACTTTGTCCTTGAAAAGCCAGTGCCTTCATTTAAAACCCACAGCAAATTGGTACAGCCACTATGGAAAACAGTATGGAGGTTCCTCAAAAAACTAAGAATTGATCTACCATGTGATCCAGCAATCCTTCTATTGGGTATTTACCCCAAAGACTTGGAAACCCATGTCCGGAAAGATATTTGCACATCGATGTTCATAGCAGCATTATTCACTGGCTAAATGATTGGCTAAAGAAGCTGTGGTACATATATACAATGGAATATTTCTCAGCCATAAGAAGAGATGAAATACTGCCATTTGCAACAACATGGATGGACCTCGAGATAATCATGCTAAGCGAAATAAGCCAGACAGAAAAAGTTAAAAATCACATGATATCACTTATATGTGAGATATAAACAGGACAAACAAGCAGAGACTTGAACAATAGACTGGTAGTTACCAGAGGGGAGAGGGGAGGGGGTAAGGGGGAGGTAGACAGAGTAAAGGGGGTCAAATATGTGGTGACAGAAAGAAATCCAACTATGGGAGGTGGACACACAGTGTAAACATATATACACCTTACTGTTAAAGTGTACAGCTGAAACTTATTGGATTTCATTAACCAATGCCACCATAAAAATTAATTAATTAATTAATTAATTAACGAAAGGGGGGAAATGACGGATTAAGTAAAGCAGGGTTCTTCTCCTCCCAGGACCGCATTGAAATTACAACCAAATGATAAAACAATCAATGTGGAGAATCACCTGAAGTCCAGTTGATCATAACACCTACATCTGATAATATAAAGGAGCCACATCGAAGCTGATATGAAGGACAATGTCCCAAATTGGGCTGGACCCACACCCGCAGGTGGTGGAGGATCACCTGGAGGGAAAACGAGGCTGCAGAGGCTCTCCTGAAGGAGAGGGTGGTCCTGGTCACATCTGGGGGCTCCCCAGCTCAGAGTTCCAGTCCAGGGAAGGGGAGATTCCAATAACTCAGACTGTAGAAACTAGAAAGGATTCTGGCCATCTGGGTGAGACAGAGGCAACTGAGTCCCTAGATGTCCCTTTGAAGGACCTGTGCAAAGGTTTTCTGACCTGCGGACACTCACCCAGGTGGGTCTGAGACTCACGCGGGATTCATTCTAAAAAAAAAGTCTCCATTACCTGGAGTCAGAAAGAGGGTTGAAAAGGCAGCCACCATTGTGCCTTAGTCCAGACCCCTTACAGAACATGCTGGCCTGATTGTGCAGACCCCTCCCACAGAGGCGTTAGGAGATGCTGGTCTGAGGGGTTCAGCCCACCCCGCCTAACCTGCAGACTGCCGGGAGCAGTTGTTTACGATTGGTTGCCAACCCCTGAGCTGAGTGATTCAGAGTGAAGTATTCACAGCGGAGCGGCCATTGTTGTGAGCAGGATTTCTAATCCAGGCAACAGCGGCCAGCTCTGTGAGCCCCATTTCAGAGATAAGGTCAGGCAGATCTCTGCTACTATCACAAATTTGGGCAGACATTGGGGACTTGTGGGCCACTCTCAGAGAGCAATTGGTCTTGCTGTGACCTGGCTCTTATGTGGGAATTCACATCAGTTACCAAATTTTCCCCAAGACTGAGGCTGTATTAATCTGACTGCCACTGTCTCTCTGAGACCCCGCCCTACCCAACCTGCAGACTGCCTGGGGCAGGTATTATAGGCTTGCTGCCAAGCTCAGCTCCAAGTGATTCAGGACCTAGTGTTCACAGTGGGGCAGCCATCGAGTGGCCTTTCCATTCCCAGCAGGCGACCAGTGCTATGAGCCGCACATCAACAGAAAACATGGTGGAGTGAGAGACGTTCCCAGATCTCTCCCCTTGAAACAGCAATAAGCTGAACATCTAAAACTCAACAAATAACACCCAAACTGCACACCAGCATCTCTGAGCATGGGATCTGCACATAAGTGCTACAACAGGTACTTTAAGACATTTGGTAAAGCAGGGATCCAAGAGGCTTAGACGCCACCTACTGGAAACCAAAAGAAAAGCGCCTTCTCTGCAACAGACTACAGTCAGACCTTTATATAATAAACCTTTCTGGAAAACAGCATAATACACTTCCATTAATGCCCAGGAGGAGAAATAGTCCATTAAACACCATGAACAACTAAGGTGATAAGGCATCTCAGAAAGCAAGAGAAAAATCTCCAGAAAATAAGCTTACAGACATAGAAATATGCAACTTAAATGACAGAGAATTTAGAATTTAGTTTTCTGAAAAAACTCAATGAGATCGAATACAAATCATATCAAAAATTTCAGGAATTGAAAAAACACCTAGATGAGCAGAGCAAGAAGATTTAAACCCTGAAAAAGAACCAAATAGAACTTCTGGAGATGAAGAACACACTGCAAGAGTTGAAAAATGAAATAGCAAGCTTGGGAAATAGAGTTGACCAAGTGGAGGAAAGGGTCAGTGATATCGAAGACGGAAACCCAGAAATAAATCAGAAGGAAGAACAGAGAAACCGAAGAATGAAAAAAAATGAAAGAGAAATCCAAGAACTAGCTGATAACATCAGAAGAGGAAACATAAGAATAATGGGAATTCCCAAAGGGGCGAGGGAAGGAGCAGGGATTTGAAAGCATTTTCAGACAAATAGTTGACGAGAATTTCCCAATTCTAAGGAATGAGCTGGAGCTTGGAATTCAAAAAGTACATAGA